AATTCTTACTCTCACTAATGCTCTTTAGTTATTAAATAGATGCTTCCAAGTTTATTTACAACTTTTTTTTTGCTAACATGTGTTTGTAATATATTTGGTTATTGAATCTCATTTAATATTAGCTGATTTTCACATATTTTATTTTTGTGACACAAGGTCTAACTTTTGAATTTGTAATGCTAATATGAATATTAATTAATAAGAACTTGTTTAAGAGATATATAAGTAAAATTATTTTAAAGAAATACTGTAGTCTATAGTATATAATGACTTGCAAAGCATTAAAACGAATAAGGAAGATTATGAGTATAAACAATCATGAAGCATGGATAGCTAAAATGAAAGAGCTTCTAATAGTACACAGCATATCATAATACATACTTGCATTAACAATAGTAGATCAGAATGGCAAAAATAAAAGAACTTCTAATAATACACCGCACATCATAATACATACATACATTCACAATATTAGATCAGAATGGCAAAAGTAAAAGAGCTTCTATTAATACACCGCACATCATAATACATACATACATTCACAATATTAGATCAGAATGGCAAAAATAAAAGAGCTTCTATTAATACACCGCACATCATAATACATACATACATTCACAATATTAGATCAGAATGGCAAAAATAAGAGCTTCTAATAATACACAGCACATCATAATACATACATACATTCACAATATTAGATCAGAATGGCAAAAATAAAAGAGCTTCTATTAATACACCGCACATCATAATACATACATACATTCACAATATTAGATCAGAATGGCAAAAATAAAAGAGCTTCTATTAATACACCGCACATCATAATACATACATACATTCACAATATTAGATCAGAATGGCAAAAATAAGAGCTTCTAATAATACACAGCACATCATAATACATACATACATTCACAATATTAGATCAGAATGGCAAAAATAAGAGCTTCTAATAATACACCGCACATCATAATACATACATACATTCACAATATTAGATCAGAATGGCAAAAATAAGAGCTTCTAATAATACACAGCACATCATAATACATACATACATTCACAATATTAGATCAAAATTGCAAAAATAAAAGAGCTAATAATACACAGCACATCATAATACATACTTGCATTAACAATAATAGATCAAAATAGCTACACTAAAATTTGTGAAGGACCTCTAATAATAGTACTAGGACATATTACAAAAAATTGATTACTAAATAATCGATCGAGTAGTTGTATTGTGAACCATAAAATACACAATATTTATGATTACAACTATTGGCATATGACATAAATAGAATTGGAACATATAGGTGGATATTGAAAAATATCATCAGTTCAGTCTTATTTCAACAATATTTGTGATATAAGTAACAGAAAAAATAATATATACATTAATCATAAACAGAATTAATCCAAAAGGAATGGATTGGAAATGGATGTTGGATATTGGAAACTATTGTTTCTAGTATAATTAATAATCAACTTACAATATCATCGTATGTTTTAATTGTTATTTTTTCAAGTTGATATTGCATCTAAATATAAATGAAAATGTTCATATATTCATATTCACAAATTCTTCAAATTCAAATTATAATCATTATTTTTTTTACAATGAGAAAATGAACATTCATATATTGGCATTACTATATTCAAAAGCAGTAAATTTAAACATAAACATATAAAACATGTTATTTTGCTAATATTAAATGTATAACTCTGTGACTAATTATAACTATATTATGATTTATTTGGAGTTGGATTTGACCTGTAATGTTATATAATTTATGTTGCTTTACTTTTTAATCAACTTGAGTGGTATGTTTGTGTAACAACTCACTATTGTTGAAATGAGCATTTTGTGTATCTAATGATGCAACAAAGTTCTTCTCTCACAATTTATGGTATTTGGTTTCATTTGTTTATATTATCATTTCAATTCTATCTTTCAAATTTCTAATGTGAATAACATTTATTAACAGCTATATTGCGGAGATAAGTTTTAAATTATAATCATACATATTTCTTTTCATATTATGGTAATAGGTTTTGAATTGTCAATATGATTTATTTATTGTTACTTTACGGTAATAGGTTTTAAATTGTAAATATGATATTTCTTTTCATATTATGGTAATAGGTTTTGAATTGTCAATATGATTTATTTATTGTTACTTTACGGTAATAGGTTTTAAATTGTAAATATGATATTAATTGTTACATTACGGTGATACGTTTTGAATTGTCGATATATTTTTTATTTATTATTACATTATGGTAATAGGCTTTTAATTGTAAATATGATTTATTTATTATTACATTTTATAGTGATAGGTTTTAAATTGTGAATATTTGATTTATTTATTATAACATTACTAATAATAAGTTTTGAATCATGAAGAATTGTGTTCGACTGGTATGTGGTTGTGTGTTCTACTGGTATGTGGTACAATTTGTTTTCTAATTTTCTTTCACGCCATGCTTTACTCATTAATATTAACATTGTGTAAATAGATTTTAACTCGTAAACTATTTATTGTAAATAACTATATATTTAATTCACATTCAATAAAAAATATTACCACAATTATGCTTTATCTTTTTTTTAAAAAAAATTAGTTTGTTTCAGTAGCAAAATTATGTGATCTAAAAGTTTTCAGTTATTCAATGTTGCATCCTACAGTTTAAACTACTGTTAAAAACTGGAACAGTCCTGGATTTGAATAATGCACTTATTCTGATAATAAAGATTGTGTTCTAAAATTCAATCATTTGTAGTCAACAATATTTGAAGTTTTCAACAATTATATTGCACACTAGTATGGAACAGATATAAGAAATGGTAAAAAAATTAATTTTGATATTGTATCATACACGTAATCTTGATATAATAAATACGAAAGATTGTAAATGTAGCAGTGTTTGGCTTACGTAATTATACATTTTTGTGATCAAGCAAATTTATGCACACAAAATAGTTGACGTTTACCAGTGTTCTTCAATTGAAATCTACCATACATAACAAAAATCCAATATTGCAACAAATTTCTGACTGAATGAAAAATTATTACTAAACACCAAAATGAGAAATTGAGGTTAAGTTTCGACAGTTGCGACAAATGTTTTGACATATATGAATGCTCTGCTGTTGGTATGCCTGCTCAGAAGAATTTCTGATTTTTTGAATGTTGGTACCGTGATTTTTTCGTTTCAGCACTTTGTTAATCCGGTGTTTAGAGCCGTGTCAAAGATTGTCCACAGCATAGATAAATAACATAAATATATCGCTATCTCAGGCCATTTGACGTTACCTCCATTTAATTTATGCAGCGATCTGAAGATGACAGCACTTGTACAGTATATAAATTAACCGCTGGTATTATTCCTAGATATGGTTCGTAAACCTAATTCAAAATAAGAAAACCGAAATGAGAAAAAAACATACGAAGCACAAAATATATTTTCAAATATAACACAAACATATCTTATAAATATAAATATAAAAATAAAAAGAGTGCGCGTAAGGTTCACACGCGATTGAAGTAAAACTTTTTTGTTATTACAGGATGGCATTTCAATTGTTAATAAATACATCATATAACAATTTTGAATAATGTTTATTAGTAAAATTGTATAATTAATAATGAAATGTTCATAAATATAAAAAGTGTGCGCGTAAGGTTCACACGCGATTGAAGTAAAACTTTTTTGTTATCACAAGATGCCATTTTAATTGTAAATAAATACATCATATACCAATTTTGAATAATGTTTATTAGTAATATGGTATATTTAATAATTAAATGTTCATAAATATAAAAAGAGTGCGCGTAAGGTTCACATGCGATTGAAGTAAAACTTTTTTATTATCACAGGATGGCAATTCAGTTGTTAATAAATACATCATATAACAATTTTGAATAATGTTTATTAATAAAATTGTATAATTAATAATGAAATGTTCATAAATATAAAAAGAGTGCGCCTAAGGTTCACAAGCGATTGAAATAAAACTTTTTTATTATGACAGGATGGTGGGCTCGCCCGGAGGTAAGTGGTTGAGAGCGATGGGACTTGTTTCAGAGGTCCCGGGTTCGATACCCACTTCGAGCAGCCTGTTGTCAGGCAACAGTGACAACGATTTTCACCTGGAAATAGAAATAGCAATATGTTTCCAAGTGAAAATAGCCATCACCCGGCATTGTTGCACCATACTTGCCCTATTACAGAGATTGTAATAAAAATTTATCATACAAAGATGTGACAACTGTTTGGGTTGCCATCTGTAATAAAAAACAAACGTAGTTTGTAAGATATTAATCACAACAGCTCATAGAACCCATAAGTTCTGATCGCTGTTCAAATAAAATTAAAAAAAAAATGACAGGATGGCATTTCAATTGTTAATAAATACATCATATAACAATTTGAATAATGCTTATTAGTAATATGGTAACACTTGTGATGCACACATTTCTTAGTGTCAACCCTAGACAATATTAGAATACCCCGTGTCAACCATTATACACATTTATATAATGATAAATTACAATTTATTATATATTTATAATAGCATGAAAATATTTAAATATTTGAAATATTTGAGAGCGATGACGAATCATTGGCAAAATTTCAAATTCCTCAAAAATCAAGTTTACAAAAATAAACTTATCTAAAATTGTTAATAATTAAGTTCGAGCAATTTGTCTTAAGGCACCACTAAATATATTCAATATGCCCCACTAAATACATTTAATTTTGAAACTATTGATATCAATTGTTAGTTAGGGCATGGACAGCAAATAAATAATGAATAATTAAAACATTTAATAATAATTATTTATTAGTTCAATAATAAATTAATATTAATGTACAAGTATTTAGATACTTTAACATTAAATATCATTACAACAAACAGTTCATAAATTTTTTTACATTTATTTTAATATTATATATAAAATTTAAATTGTCAATAGTGTTTACCTTACCTTGCCATCTTTTATTTTAACTCTTATTTATCTGATACTGATTGCACTGGTATTTATTACAACTGTTGTTTTTGATGGTATCGAAAAGTTCTTTTAGACCCAACATCTCTAAAGTCTGTACAGGAGTACTAAAAAAATTATAGTATTTATACTCATATATAAGTATGCAAATCTAAAATACGTAGCATTATGTGTTATCCGTTACTAATTGATTGATTAGTAAGAACAAGTTGTAACGGATAATTTGAAATCAATTCAAATTTATTTGAATTTAATGGTTTTTTGAAGTCATATTTCAATACTAAAATTTGACAATCTAATATTTGCATTATATCATTCAAAGAGGTTCCCAAACTTTTTTCGTTAAAGATATTAATGTGGTGTATTGTGATCCATTACTATTATTTAACTTAATAGATCATGCTATACTATTGTCTCATAGGAAATTTTTAAAGAACACCCTCGTATTAGTATCACAAATCTTAAGAAAATTACACACAGAAATAATTAAAAAATAAAAATCAGAATAAAACAATGCTCACAGAACACATAAGTAACCTCCAATTTCCTTTGTCGACTCTCTCTCTCTCTCTCTCTCTCTCTCTCTCTCTCTCTCTCTCTCTCTCTCTATATATATATATATATATATATATATATATATATATATATATATATATATAGTTTTCACAATAATCTGCAATTATTCATAATATATAAAGCTCTTAAATTTCTTTTTACCTTTTCACAGCCCTGAGCAATTGTCTGTAAATTATTTTTTGGCCGTCATCAAATTTGGTATCGGAATCGCTTGTGGCCAAGATACAGAGCTCATACAACTCGCACGCAGATTTATTTTTGAAAGATTTTGTAAAATCTTTTTCGAAATTTTCATTTTTGAAACTATTGACGAACTGTTCAATGTATCTGTATCGCAGTGGCATCATTGTGGGCATTATAGTAGGTCTGCAAAAACATATTTATACTAAACACAAATCTAATAAATCTTTATTTTCGAATTTCTCTGCATTTGTTACTAATTGTGATTAAAAAACAATACAATTACTTTAGATTAAAAATTCGTTGTTCAAGCTGAGAAATAGTTGGTATATAAATTTATTACAATACTAACATAATTAATATTCTGCAAAATTTATGGTAATATTATAATTGGTTTTTTGAGGATCATACTTCGTAAAATAGTGATGAGCATCTTTACAGTAGTACAATTTTTAATACAACAATTTTTTAAATTTAGTATCTGGTTATATACATAATAAATTCATATTAAGGCAAAGACGGCCAAGTAGTAACACTGATACTGTAACAGGCTTATTTGACTAGAATCTCAAGCATTAAATATTTCTCTTTGACTCAGATACTAATGTTCGTAGACGATTTTCAGAACACGGATCGACCGCTCTGTTTGAAAAACAGTCAATTCGTATTGTTGAGGAAACCTACTTATTAGTTTTTGGTAAAAATATGCCCTTCAGTTTCGGAGATACGAAATAAATAATTACATGGAGAATCTATGGTTTCATGTGGCGTATTAAATATTATCTAGTCTATGAAATTATTTGTTAAAAAGAAGATTTTAATTATTGCTTTCAATTGTCGAAATATTTTGATTATATTAATAAATTCTCAAACATTTTTTCTACAAATTAACTTTTTTCAGAATTATAACAATTGAAAAATTATAACTATACATGGATTGTTAAAATTCTCTTAAAACACAAGATTAAAATTTTACTTACATCATATGTTTTTTCGTAAACACTGAAATAAACAAATTTCCATGTTAAATATAAAATCTAATGTTACCTCATATTAGTCGAATTTGAGTCAACCCGTAGTACATTTGGTTTTAGCGCTGAAATTAATATTCCTATGGGCACTAAAGCCGTTAAAATATGACTAATATCTTTCCATATTGCAGCCCTGTAAATAAATTATTACAATATATATATATGGTGGATTTTTTTGGTCATTCATGCATATTGCAATGAATTGCATATTGTCATTTCAATAAATTTTACTGAAGAAACAATAGCCAGAAAAGGTTTCAAGTCAGAGAATGTATAATACAGTTTTTTCTTCAATATCAATAACATTGTACTAGAAAAAGTAGTTATTTTCGAAAGTCTTTAAAATTTTCGCGGTTTTCTCATGTCACTATCATAATTCACTTTTCGATTCTGTTCTAAAACTTGTTTGTTCACTCTAGCCAGCAATTGAACGTGTTTGTTGTAAATGTTTTCTTTTAATTAATAACGCAGCTATAAAACTAAAAATGTTTGATATAAAATAACAATAGAATTAATCAAATAAAAAGTCTTGTAAAAGCACGATTGTGAGATCATTATAGCTAAATGTTTCAATTACAAGATATAATAATAAGTAAAAATAATAAGTTAGTCTCTGTAATCTGCAATTCAAATAGTTCGCAACCATGAATTCAAAATGGTGAGGTATTTTTGTTTGATTGGCCTATCGAATGACGATTTTAACAACCGATGCAAATTTTGTTATATATAGGTATATATAAATATGTATGCATGTATATAATATATATATATATATATATATATATATCATTATCACTTACTTGTTTTCTTTTATATCGATGTCCCCGTGCTTAAATGGCTCTTGAATATGCGATGTATGTGTCTTATGGAAATAGTTTTTAATATTATCAACTGATGGCTTACTGTCGTAATACGATGAGAAGATAGGATAATTATTGTGATTCGGCTTATTTACTTCTGAAAAATAACATGGATATCTAAACTACAACTATAACGTAGATTAATTAAAACATTTTTTTTCCCAATTTTTCAAGCATTTTTTCTTTGCTCGTTTTGAAATACAAAATAAACAAGAAATGATGTTTGTAACTTTCTGTATTTTCAACTAACCATGGAGTAAGTTATTGTAATTGTTCAAAAATCGAAAGTAAAAGATTTTGCATATCTTCAGTGTTCAGAGGTTCTGAACATTTTGGCATACCCCAGAAAATAATGATGTGTGTGTGTTTTTTCTTTTGTATTGCAAAGACAATACGTTTATGTATTCAATAGACGCAAGTTGTCTGGATATGTCAATCAACATTGTTAATACAGGCCTTGTTAACTAACCCCCCCCCCCCCCCCCCCGGGAACCACCGTTAATCATTACTTCGTGAAGGGAGGATCTAGATCTTAATTGCTTCTTATTCTGATACCTAAGATGTCATACATCTTTCACTCGCTCTTTTACTAGTAGTACTACTGGCGCTGCGGGCTACTTCTGATGTAAGCATTGCTTCCATTAGTGTTTCTGGTCGAAATCTCTGCTTTGGGATTGTTACCTGTTCATTTCGCTGTGGACTAAAGCGCGAACACTCAAAGAAAATTTTCATTAACTCCTCTGCAAACTGGACACCCTGGAGAATAATCATGCTTATAGCGATGAAGATAAGCCCAAAAGCAGTCGTGTTCAGACAGCATCTGCGTTAGATAGTAGTTGACTTCTTAAAGCCTCCCGTTCAGTCAAACGTTAATCTTAGGTATAAAACGGTGTGCGTCCAACTACCCTTTTCTGCAGCCCACTGTAGCTGCCAACGTCTTATGCTGGTTTGAGATCCTTGGTTTGAGATCCTTGCGCTTAGTGTTTTTCGTCTTTCCTCAGCTAGGACTCTAAGAGGCAAAATATTGTGCGGAATCCGCATATCACTCGTGAGGTACTCAGACGGTATGCAACTTTTCTGTCCTCCTGTCCTTCTGTCCATGCTTGTTAGAACTCTAGTGCGTCTTCCCAAATAGGTACTCCATAAGTGAGCACCGAGGCAACCACTGATGAAAGTATAAGACTTCAGCTCTACTTTGGTCTATCGATATAAGGCATCAATCGTGCCAGAACAGGAACTCACTACTGATGCTTTGTCACTTACTTGTTGTACTTGCTCTTTAAAATTCAAATGGCATCAAGAATCACTCCCAAGTATTGAATATAAGGTTGTGATATATTGCTTGTTCACCGGCTTTCAACTTTATAGTCTCTATGATTTTTCTGCTAGTGTTGAATACTGCTTTCGTCTTCTGTTTAGCTAGTTGAAATTAACAGCATCCATCCAGCGATTTACTATCTCAAAAGTCACGTTGAACAAATGGCGTATTTCATTTGAGGTGTTGCGACGATCATTACGGCTACGTCGTCCGCATATGTCACTAGTTTAGTCTTGGAAACCTTTAGCCTCAAAAAGCCGTCGTACATAATATTCCAGAGTTG